CAGCCCGTCCCGCACACTCATCGGCTGCTCCTGTCTGTGATTGCCCCGGGCCCTGTGAACACTCAGGAACGGCCCGCCTGTCCCCCGTCCCTTGTGCCTCCGAGGGCATCTCACCTGCGCCCTGAGCAGCCAGGAGGAAGAGGAGGCAGCAGCGAAGGCCGCAGCTGGAGCGGACGCGCGCAGGCTGGGCCATGTCGGGGGGCGGCTGCTTGAGGCTAAGGGCTGGCACCCCCTCGCCTTATACCGGGCCGGGTTTGACGTCACGGGGGCTGGGGCCCTCCGGCCTGGGCCTTAAACAAACGGAAGGGCCCGCCCCGCCCCGCAGGCTGCCCTCCTGATAGTGGGAGACCGCAGCCCGCCAGGGAGCCAGGAGCCTGGGCGCCCGCCCCGGGCTGGGCCTGGGGAGAGGAAAAGGCCGGGAGGGGAGACTGCGGGCTCAGCCCCAGCAGGGTTCCGGCGGGAGATGGCAGGTTCTAGAAGGACTGAGCTCTGGTTGGGCAGGACGGGGAGGGGAGACTGGATGCCCTGTTCAGGAGGAGATTCAAATTCTGGTTCTTCTCCAGCTTCGTCTTCTCTCTTCGCCTGGTGCACCAGCCCAGCTCTCCACGCCCCTTGCTCACACAGGGCCGCTCTTTTTCCCTGGGTGGAGCTGCCGTGGTGGGTCAGGTGAAAGAGCAAAGGCGGGGCAGCTGACACACAGCCCACCTCTGCAGACACGGGTGCCCGCAGGTGGCCCGTATGTGGAGGTGGCAGTGAGAGGGAAGAGACAGACACGGCCCCCAGGCACTGGGCTGACATGCCTCACCCGGACAGGGACAGGCCACGCAGAGGCACTGGAGGCCCCTTCCCCTCTCCCACCACAGCCCCCATTCACCCTGCACAGAAATGCAGAACCCTCATGTCTAGGATCCCCCAGTCTTTCCCTTCCCTCCCTCCTGATCCCTTGGCTGAAGTAAGCATTAGCTCAGAGACTGTCCAAACTCATCCACTGGCCCCCAAGTGGCAGTGCCTGGGACTGGGATGGGGGGAGAACAGACTGGGGGTCTCTGAAGAGAGGCAGAGCCCTGGGTCCAGGAGTTTCAATCACCACCCCTACCACTCACTTCCTGTGTTCCCTGTGGGTCTCCTCTCGTGGAAGGTCAGTGCCCACAGGCAAGGTCTTCGCCTTGTAAGGACCCAAGAAGGACAATTTTGCCCCCACCCCAGCTGCCTCCCCAGCGTCTGGCACAGTGCCTGGCTCACAGCAGACAATCAGTAAGCGTTTAGTAGGCCCCATGCAGTGGAAGCCGGGCAGACACCGCCCTTGTTGGAAAGTGACACGGCACCTGGAGCGGAGAGGGCCAGGACCTAGAGGGCAAGAGGCCAGGGCCTGGGGCAGTGCGGCTCACGGGGGTACTAGGGGGCTGACCATGTGAATTCCTCCCATTACTTGGCGTGACTAGTCCCTAAGCCCTGGGCAGGGCTGGAATGGGTGGGAAGAGGCAAACAGGTCCATTGCTCATTAATGTGATTAATGGGAGATTAATGAGGCTCCATGGAGTCAGGCCAAGACACTACTCAGAACTGGGCAATGCCTCCTGCAGGATGGGGACCTGAGGCAGACGCAGGCCCCCTGGATGCCACCTGGACTCTACTACTCTGTACCCCGTCCTTTCCCCAAGGACCCAAGAAGGACAATTTTGCCCCCACCCCCCCGCCAGGGAACATTTGGCAATGTCTGGAGACATTGTTGTTACAACCTGGAGAGAGCTGATACTGGCATCTAGTGGGTAGAGGCCAGAGATGCTGCTAAACATCCCATAATGCACCCACCAGTCTCCACAACAAAGAACTCTCTAGCCCCCTATGTCAGCACTGCTGTGGGGGTGGGGGGTGAGGGGGACTCATTGTATAAATAAACTTCCACCCCTCTTTTTAACCACAACTCCCCAGAGGACCTAGGCATCTGAGGTGGAGGAACCCAGAGGGAGGTTGTTGTGTTTGAGCTACAGCCTGAAGGACTGGTCACAAAACAGCCCTACCAGCTACTGGCCTTTGAGCAGTGCCGTGTGCCAAAGGTGCCGAGCACCTTATCTCACTATAACCTATGAGGCTAGCAATGTCAGCCCATTTTACAGATGAGAATAAACAACCTCTGATCTCGGAAGGACTTGCCCCAGGCCACACAGCTGGTGAGCAGCAGAGGCCAGAAGTGACTGGTACCTGCCTGGCGGCAAAGCCCATGCACTGGGGCAAATGCACAGAACTGGGACCAGTGGAGGAGACACTGTTTCACTTCCTGAGAATGTTCCCAGCATCCACCCGGGGTGTCCAGGAGGCACCCCAGAGCAGGGCTCCTCACTGCCCAGAGGTGAGGGAATTGGGGCCTTGGAACGGCCAGGAGGCTCCGTATGAAGGAGATGTGAAGGGGAAACCCCCTCCTGTGTCCTGGGGACCCAAGTAAGGTGCCTCAGCCAAGGGGTGCCTTTGATAGTTGGGGAAGAAGGTGGGAATGGGGAGAAAGGGCAAAGGCTGGCAGACCTAGAGACCATCTGCGCTGGTCCTTCCTTCCAGGCGTGGGAACGCTGTGTCAGGGAGCGGCCCAGACCACGGCCTCCCCTCACCCCACTGCCCGAGGAGGCCTGGGGGGCCCACGGCCACAGCCATTCACCGGCAGGAAACAGCCCGGTTGGTGTGAGTAGAAGGCTGGGTACATATTTTTAGTTTTTCTCTATTAGCCCCCAAATGCCTTTTTTTAATTGAGGTAACATTGGTTTATAACATTATAATAGTTTCAGTTATACAGCATTACAACCCCCCGTCCGCACATACTATATCATGCCCACCGCCGAAAGTCTAGTTTCCACCCATCACCAGAGTTGCCCCTTTACCCGGTTCACCGCCCTCCCCCCCATCCCCTCGGGTCCCTGCCAATCTGTGGTCTGCCTCGATGAGTTTGCTTTGCTTTGGTTGGTGGGTTTGGGTCTCTTTTTCAATGAGTCTGTTTAGGGGAGGAGGAAGGAAGGCCTGAGGAGAGGGTGTTCGCCGTCCTTGCCCCGCCGCTTCACTTGACGGCGTAGCGCTGGCTGGTGGCCTCACCGTGGTGGCAGCCGTAAGGGGTCACAGAGCCACAGCCACACCCCACGCTCACCTCCTTCCGGAACTGGCAGGCCTGTGAGAGGAGGGGGATAGGGCGGGTTAGCCGAGGGCCCGCACGCACGCACCTCAGAGCTCCGCAGCATAAGCTCATTGCTCTGAGGTGGACACCGCCGTTCGCACTTCACCTGGGATTCAGTGACCTTGTCAGTCGACAAGGGGGAGTAACACTACCTATATCACAGGGTTGCTGTGAACTTGACACATAATAGGTACTATTTAAGTATTACTTATTTGTAATGGTAACAAAGACTCTGGAGCACAGAGAGTTTAAGTAACTTGCACAAGGTCACCCAGCTCTAATGTCAGAGACAGGATTCAAACTGTGGCCCCACAGGGCTGATTCTTCACAGCCAAGAGCTGAATCGGAGCCTCCGTGAGCTGGTCAGCCTCCAGCACCCCCCAGCCTCTCTGTCAGTGTCCCTAAGCACCCACGCTGCCTGGTCAATGTTTCCTCCCAGCCACCAAGACCGGGGTTCCTTTTTCCCCTTGCTCCTCCCTATGGGTGTCACCCTTCTCGCTGGAGCCCCTGCTCTCGTCAGAGTCCCAGCCCCGCTGCACTGGGACCACAGCTGCACTCACCTTCTTGATACCATAGAGCAGGAAGGCGATGGCTGCCACCACGGTGACGGTGATCAGCACGATGGCCCAGTCTGGAACGGAGCCCTTCTCCTGAGGGCCGGGGCCTGAGGAACAGAGCCGGACAGTGACGCAGGCCACGGGGCCTCGAGCCCGCTCCCCACTGCCCTGCATGGCTGCCCACCTTCCCCGCAGGCGACTCTCCTGTTTGTGGGGCCCCAGGACCACGCTTCCCTGTGGCGTTCTCTCCTATCCTCTTGGGAACAGGATCTCAGTGGAGAGGTTTTAAACGGCTCCAACCCAAGCTTTTGGTAGAAATGGATGGGCTGAGTCTATAAAAATGAAGAGTCTGAGAATAGCCAAGACTCTGAAAGAAACGGCAGCAGACTCGTACGCACCCCGCAGGCTGCCAGAGCCGAGCCATCCAGCCCTGTGGCGCTGGAGACAGACGGAGCAGACACGTGCAAGAGCAGAACCGAGCCAGACAGACGGCACATTACGGTCACCTGACCTTCGATAAAGGCGCTTGCACAGGGCCATGGCGGGGAGCGACTGAGGGTCTGGGAAATCAGTGGTTCTGGGGCGACTGTCATCACTAAGGGAAAAATTTGGCCTTGACCTTTGCCTCACTCCACACACAGGAATTAATCTGAGATGGATCATAGGCTTAAATTTGAAAACTAAAATAATAAAGCTCCTGGAAGAACATGTTCGAGAATATTTTCATGACCTCGACAAAGGCAAGAGAATGTCTCAGGCAGGATACAAAAGGAACTAACCCCAAGAGAAAAGGCTAAGAAATTGAAAAGCACGAAGGGGCTCCACTTTGTGAGGCTCTGGGGAACTGCCCACTCACGCTGCTGCGCACAGGACACCCCCGCCCAGAGCTCTGGGCCACGCGCTGACGAGTCTTTCAAAGATGCACTGAGCAACAGAAATATCACCTGGTGAGGCTGAGACTGGTCCGGAAACACTCCCAGAAGTGGGGGGAGCAAAAGTCTGAGGACCACTGGGAAAATTCCCAGAGGTGGAAGAAACTGACATGGTAGGGCGACTCTCTGAGACAGTGGGAACAGTCACAGAGACACCCCCAGGGACAGTAGGAAGGCCCCCAGGGACAGTGGGGGTACCCCCAGGAACACCCCCAGGGACAGTAGGGAGACCCCCAGGGACAGTGGGGAGGCCCCCAGGGACAGTGGGGACACTCCCAGGGACAGTGGGGAGGCCCCCAGGGAGAGTAGGGAGACCCCCAGGGACAGTGGGGAGGCCCCCAGGGAGAGTAGGGAGACCCCCAGGGACAGTGGGGAGGCCCCCAGGGAGAGTAGGGAGACCCCCAGGGACAGTGGGGAGGCCCCCAGGGAGAGTAGGGAGACCCCCAGGGACAGTGGGGAGACTCCCAGGGACAGTGGGGAGGCCCCCAGGCACAGTGGGGAGGCCCCCAGAGACAGAGGGGAGACTTCCAGAGACAGAGGGGAGACCCCCAGAGACAGACGGGAGACCCCCAGGGACAGTGGGGAGGCCCCCAGAGACAGAGGGGAGACCCCCAGGGACAGTGGGGAGGCCCCCAGAGACAGAGGGGAGATTTCCAGAGACAGAAGGGAGACCCCCAGAGACAGAGGGGAGACCTCCAGAGACAGTGGGGAGACCTCCAGAGACAGAGGGGAGACCTCCAGAGACAGTGGGGAGACCCCCAGAGACAGAGGGGAGACCCCCAGAGACAGAGGGGAGACTTCCAGAGACAGAGGGGAGACTCCCAGAGACAGATGGGATGCCCCCAGAGACAGTGGGGAGGCCCCCAGAGACAGTGGGGAGATCTGCAGAGACAGAGGGGAGACCCCCAGAGACAGAGGGGAGACTTCCAGAGACAGTGGGGAGGCCCCCAGAGACAGAGGGGAGACCCGCAGAGACAGAGGGAAGACTTCCAGAGACAGAAGGAAGACCTCCAGAGCCAGTGGGGAGATCCCCAGAGATAGAGGGGAGACCCTCAGAGACAAAGGGGAGACGCCCAGGGACAGAGGGGAGATGCGCAGGGCCATCCCCAGAGATAGAGAGACTGTCAGAGACAGTGGGGATGCCTCCAGACGTTGTGGTCCTCAATGGCTTCAGCTGAGCTGTTGGAAAAGAATGTGATAAGGTTAGAAGAGCAGACAACGTCCCTAGGTCTTAGCCCCAACGCCCAACACCCAGCACCCCTTTCGAGCCCGTGCTCACCTAGTGCGGCCAAGGCCTGCAGGCCCAGGAGCAGCACAAGCGCTGCCTCCATGATGCCAGCCAAGTGTCCTCCCGGGCCCACGGCCGGGCTTTTTAAAGTCTCCGAGGCCTATTACATGCCTCTGGAGAGCCAGGTGTGCCGGGACCTCCATCAACACCAGGATCTCCATCCCCAGGGAGAGGTCACCAAGCTGTCCCCAGAGGATTAGCCTGTCCCAGCCTGATCCCAGGAAGCACTGGGCGAGGGGTGGAGTGAGTGAGCCTGAGGACTCCCCAACCTGGCCCTCAGCCTCTTCCCACTAGGGACCTGTCCCTCAGGCAGAGTCAGTCTCCCACCCAGACCCCCCTGAAAGGCAGGGGACCAGGTGTTCTAACCCCAGGTCCTCCTCCTGCTGCTAGAAGTCCAACTATTGGGGTGAGGATATATGGGTCTCTAGAAGAAGCAGGAATTGGGAGCTGGGTGGGGGTGAAGGACGTTGTGACCTGGGGACTGCATCTGACCCTTGGGAGACCCCGGGCAGGAGAGGTAGGGGGTGGACACCTGAATCCTCTCTCACCTGGACAGCTGCAGCCCATTTCCATTCTTTTGGGGGAGAAGAAGAGCAGCAGGGGAGACCTGCATGGTGTTCGGGGGAGAGTGCACTGCAGGGGTCCCGAGCCCAGCTCTGGAGCCTGACTGCCCGGAACCACGCTTCCCGGCTGTGTGGCTCGGGCAAGTCACAAGGTGCATCTTCACTCCTCATACGAAGTGATCTAGTCCCTAGTTTAAAGGGTCATGATGAACATTAAAGGAAATGTTTCTAACGTGCCTAGCAGAGTGTCAGCTACGATTACCAAGAACGGAAAGACACAGGCTACTCCCCTCTCCTAAGAAGACTCAGATGCCCCAAAGCACCTCTCCATGTTCCTGCCTCCTACCTGCTGGGCCTGCTGTTCTTTCTGCCCATTTATTCTTCCAGTGCAAGTCTGGGAGTCCCATCGATGGTGTGGACAGTGTCTCCCTCCATCTCTGCCTCTGTTCTCCTGTGCTGGGCCCTCTGGTTTTCAGAGGTGGGGGGAAATGTTACATAGGCAGACAGAAAGACCAAGGGCATGTGTCTGTGTGTCCAGGGGCTTACATGACTGGTGTGTCAATCTTGTCCATGTGTCTGGCATAACGAGGGATGAGTTCTAATCTCTCTGCTTCTGACTTGCTCTGTGACCTTAGTAAGTCATTCACCCTCTCTGGGCCTTATTTCCTAGATTTTAAAGAAAGGGGGTAAACTAGATGGACTCCAGACTTCCCTCTCCACGTCTGTCCTTGTGTTTGCCATTCTGAGTGCCTGTGACTAGGAAAATGAGGGTATCCCTTTTGCCTGAACACAAAAGGTGGGGCAAGTGGGATGTGATAAGGCCCATGTCTCCACCTGGGCTGTTTTAGAGCAACTAAAAACACTCAAAGATGAAAGGTCCCCATTACCTAGATTCCTCACCTGGAAAGTCACTGTGGCTTGGGGAGCAGGACAGCTGGGTTTGGGAAGAAACTTGGCTAATCCACCCCTCCCTTTTGGGGCCACATTCCTGAGCCCTTCGGTGGCATGAATGATGGAAATTAATTGTAGTTAATAATTAATCCCTGAAGAGCAATGAGAGGCCCAGGCATGGGTGAGGCACCCATGGAGTAGGGTGAGGAGGGACCACCCACTATTTTCCCCAACAGCCCAGTGAATGGCCCTCTCCTGGGTCCTCAAAGCCATATTGGGAGAACTGGAAAATCCAGTTGCCCAGCTGCCCCCAAGCACTTGTGCTAAGGATCAGCTGTAGAAAGGCAAGCCAGCGAGGAGAGACAGAGGGGCTTCAGGCATCTCCTCTATCCATCTGAGAAGTGAGGTGGCCACAATGGGGACCAGACTGCCCCTCTTCCTCTTCCTGACCCTCCTTGGCAGCTCACACGGAACAGGTGAGGGCCTGGAGGGCTGGAGGGCAGGACACAAGGGTCCTCATGGCAAGAAGAGGCCAAGAAGGGGAGCTAGAGAGACAGAGGCACCCAGTCCTGAGCTCCCCAGAGTTCAGGGGTGAACTGCAGCCTTGAGACGGTTGGGAAAGGCCTTGCTGGGAGGAAAGAACCGGGTGGGGCAGGGCAGGAGGTTACCCTGGTGGCTGGGTCGTAAGCTGAACTTCTGGATCCCTAGGGCCAGGAATGACTTTGCAACTGAAGCTGAAGGATTCCTTTCTGGAAAATCCCTCCTATGATTCCAGCTTCCTGGAGCTGCTCAAGAAGGTAGTTCTTTGGGAGGGAAAAGGTGGGCTGTGTGGACTCTGAGTGTGTTTCTGAGTCAGTTTGGGCCTCTCTGCTGGCACCTGGTCGTCTCCAGATATGAGGGCCATNGTGTTTCTGAGTAAGTTTGGGCCTCTCTGCTGGCACCTGGTCGTCTCCAGATATGAGGGCCATTTAACCCCTTCTCTCCGCCAGCTCTGCCTCCTCTTCCGCCTCCCGCCAGGGACCAGCCTCGCCCTGCACCAGGCAGGGCCCCCGCACCGGATCATGTGCGGAGCCTGAGAGCCGTGGAAGCCAGCGCGGTGCCCTCCGAGGCGCTGGCCTATCTCCCAGCAGCCCCTTCCCTGCTCAGTGGCAGTAAATACGCTGAATCCAATGACTTTGTGAAGGAATCGGACGCCTTTGAGAAGCAGAAGGGATCGGGTGGGCGGGCTCTCCCTCAACGCCAGTGTCAGGCCTGGAAGGAATCAGGGGATTAACTGGGGACACACAGCACACACGCACACATGGGCGTGAGCATACACTTCAGGTGAGATCTGCAGAACGCCTGGCAGGAAGGGAAGACCGCGTATTGAGTGACTCTCTCCCCAGCCCATGCCTGCAGCAATCTCATATGCAGGATGACAGGTATTAGTATCCAGTTTTACAGATCAGGAACTTGAGGCTTGGAGAGGACACGCTGGTCACCTGAGGTCCACTAACAGTGGGGAGGTCAGGCACCAAATGCCTGGGCTTCAGCAAGGTTTTCCTTTCCTCACCCTTTGCTTAAACTTTGGGGCTGGGGGCTCAGAACCCAGGCAGGGATGTGGAAAGACACCCCCAGGACATGAGCTCCCTGACCCAGGGACCCACACAGGTCAATCAGGGTAGAAGGCAGAGTGGGAGGCAGCTCAGGTGAGAGATGGGGGGTTCAGCTGACAGAGGATAGTCAGCTGGGGGGGGGCAGTGCTAGCAGAGGTGGTGCTGGCTAAACACAAGGACGTGTAGCCACACAGATCCGCACTTGAGTCCTGAGTTTCTCAGCTGCGTGGAGCCTGCATTTCTCACCTGCAAAATGGGAATAGTGCCAGTACCTGCTTCATAGGATTGAGGGTTACACGGGTAAGCTACCCAGGGCACAGGGCACTGTGCCTGTCAGAGAAGGGGGCACAGCAGCAGGGATTGGTATTAGAGTGGAGACCCAGTCCCCACACATAGTCCCATCAGGGTCCGGGGTTGTCCTCCTGGTTTTCCTGAGGCAGGCTCATCTGACTGCCCACTCAAGATTGTCTTGCCTTCTTACCAGCCGTCTCAAATTGCAAGCATGCAGCCAAGACTTGACCGTTTGGGGGTATTAATATGATGACTTCCTGTTCTCCACAGTACCCACCCCTGCCTACCATATGGCCACCCAACCACCACCACCACCACATGAAGGCAGAGCCTGGCTGCTTTAGAGGGAGGTGAAGGCAACAGCTCCGTGTGGAGCATCCCTGAAGATGAGGGGACACAGGAATTAGGAGAGTAAAAACAAAACTTACAAAATCCCCCTACTCTCCTTTGTAATTGTCCTGAGACAATTAGCCCAGAGAAGAAGTAGCTGAAGGCCCCAAAGAACCCAATCATTCATGACTTGCCCCTAGCCTGCCTGCACGAGGGGCAAGTGACACCTATGGGTCGTGTGTGTAGCCCCCAACAAGCTGGGGAACTAGATGTCCAGATCCCCAAAAGGCTGGAAGGGCAGACTAACTGCTTCGAAGCCTGGTTCTTATATCTCAGGGCCTGGGATTACTGGACTGTGATTTCCAGATTCCTTTCTCAAAGAATCCTCTTCCCAGACTCAAGACAGAGCAGTACAGCGCAGCGCAAATAATGCTTTGGGGTTCATTAGGCCTGGGGGTGGCAGAGACTGCTAAGTGTCCCCTAATAAGCATTCTCCTCCTTTTGGATAGTCATGTGGATTTTAGCTGAGCACCTGGCTCATTCCATTTCCCAGCCTCCCTTGCAGCTAAAAATGGCCATGGTCTAACAGGATGCAAGTAGAAAGGAACTATGCAAAGTCCTGGTAACATCCTTGAAAGGAAAGGAGCTGTCGCTTCAGAGGGAAGGAAACAAAGTCCTCACAATGGCCAACAAGGTCCTAGAGCAGCACTTCCCAATAGAACTTTCTGTGATGATGGAAATGTTTTAGAACCTGCGCTGAGCAATGTGGTAGCCACTAGCCACATGTGGCTATAAAACACTTGAAATGAGGAACTGAATGTTGCACTTTTAGTTCCTTTAGATAACCAAATGGCTACCATTTTGGACAGCACCACCCTAGATAATCCTCCTTGAGCCTTCCTACCCCTACCCTACCGCTCATGCGCTTCGCTTACCCACCCCCCTTGCCACTCTCTGAACACTCCAGACATGCTCACATCCTGGCTTTGCTCTGGCTCTTCCCTCCACCTGAACACTGCTCCCAGACATCCACTTGGCTAATTCTTGCACCTCCTGCAAGACTTTGCTTAAATCTCACCCCTACAATGAATTCTACCCTGACCCCCTTTTAATACTACAATCTGCTTCCCCCACACACACCTTGTCCCCCAAGTCCCCTTACCTTGTTCTACCCTTTCTTTTTCATAGCACTCACGACCTTCAGACACACTATATCCTACGTACTTACATATTATTTCTGACTTTCCCTGCTAGAGCCAAAGTACTACCAGGGAAGTGATCTTGGTTTCTTTCACTCACTGATGAGTCCAAGGGTCCAGAACAGGGCCCAGTACATAGCAGGTGCTTAAGAAATACTTGAACTTGGGGAAGAAAAAAAGGAAGCTGCCCACCCCTCCTGTCCCTTTCCTCCGGGTGGGAATGTGGGTATGCTGGTGGGAACTAGGGGTTCTTAGACCCAGTTAGCAGGAAAATGGGAGCCCCATCACCACAGAGCCCAGTGAACAGAACATTTACCTCACTGAATCCACCATTATATATGAAGCTTGCTTAGAGCAACCACACAGAACTTACACCTAATTTATTGGGTTGAATCCCAGTGATACTTTACACAAGCAACTTTTACTCTCAGTACATTTCTTTCTCTCTGAAATGGAGAGAACACCCCGACCTCCGAGGTTCTCGGGGTTAAATAGCCAGGGAGGCCCCAGCCATAAAAGGCCGGCCATAAACAGCAGCTACTCAGAGCTGCTGCACAGAATGGAACTTGGGCATGGAAGGGCCAACCCCTGAATTCTACAAAGATGTTTGGGGTGGGAGGTCGGCATCTGTGCATCTCTGTGCACCCCATCAGGTGCTGGCACTCCAGTCTCAGGTACACAGAGTAGAGAGGGGCACTCCTTGCAGCCCCTCAGGCCTGGAAGAAGTCTCTGCTCCTCTCAGCACCCCTGGGAATGGGGCCAAGGAGCAAGAAAGTGGAGAAGGAAGGGCCAGCAGAAGTCAGGGCACTGTAAGTCCGGGAAGTAGGTGGAACGTGGGTCACTGTGCGAGGCCTACAAGACAGCTCCTCTTTCCTCCAGTGAGGCGGGCACCGCCCAACACCCACCCTCCCACTGTGGCACAGCCCCAGGAAGAGGTGGACCTCCTCCTTTCCCAGGCCAGTCTCTGGGAACAACTGAAAGGCAAAAAAGTCACCACTGAGGGAGAGGGACAAAAGAACAACAGGCAGATGCATTTGAGAGTTTTAAGTTTATCTGAATTTCCTCATGCCTAAACTTTCCGGTGGGGCTGCGCCAAGGGGAGCTGGGGCGGCCATGTCAGCATCTCTGTGACCAAGGCAGTCTGTCCCCATAAATGAGGGAAGTGAACCAGGTGGTCTCTGAGGTCCGATCTTGCCAGCAGCTGCAGGACCAACTTGTCCTCAAAGGCAGGCCTGGGAGGGCGGAGAACTGCCAGGGACAGTGTGTGAGGGCTCAGGGCTCCCTGGGGCTAGAGACCCATCCATCAGCTGCTGGAGGTGAGAGGCCGCCTTGTCTAGTTTCGACAATTCCAGTTGGAGGGAAGAAAGCTGGACGGGGTGAGAAGCAGGTTAAGGATCCAGGTAGAAGGCCCACCCCCTCCTACATTCCCTCATGAAGGTGGGTTCCCTGGGTGGCCTCCCAGCCTCACCTTCTGCTGTCTGTGAGTCTCTGCCTCTCCCTCTGATGGGGTCCGGGCTATGAGGCCATCGAGCTGCTTCTGCAATTTGTGTCTTCGGGCAGCCAGCAGAGGCAGGTGGGCCTGGGGATCCACCAGGCCCTGAGGGAGAACAGAGGCATCTTGCAGCCTGCCCAGCACCTCCCTCCTCCCCATACTAAGACTCCTCCTCACTTTTATAGTTCTCGCCTTGCCCTCCTCCCAACATCCTTTTTGACCCCTCCCCTGCACCAATCTCCTCTGGGCACCTGCAGCTCCATGTAGACCTGGACGGTGTCACTGAGTGGGGTCTGGGCCCAGCCAGAGGGAGCGGCTGCGCCTGCAGGTAAGAGGCCCACAGCCCCGCAATGGCTCAGGGTGCCCAGGGGCTCCAGGAAGGCCTCAAAGATGCTCTGCCCTCCAGGCTCTGAGCACTGCAGCAGCACTGGGAGGAAAGGGACTCTGTCAGGGCAAGGCCTGAGACCCTGCCTCCCAACCCAGGCCCTGCCCCAGGCCCTCCCCTCCGCCCTGCCAGCCTTCTTTCTGCACAGACTCGGAGCCCAGGACATGCCTCACCTCGAGGCCGCACCTTGGTGAGCTGGTATGTGGCTCGGAGAGCCCTCAGCGCCTGCACGGCCTCCTGGACCCGGGAAAAGCGCTGCTCCAGCTCAGGCTGGTGCCAGCGCTCCTAGAGACAGGGCCCAGAATTGAGCAGCAGGCTCCTGGGAGAGACTCTATCAACTCTCCTGGCTCCCCCCTCCCCCCTGCCCAGCCCACTCTTCTGTACCCCTCAAGGATGGAACCTGGTGAAAATGGGGGCCACCTAGGAAGGTCTTAGATGGTCAGTGGCTGGTGCCTATTTAGACGCTCTGATTGAAGATGGTAAACAACCAAAAATAAATTTTAAAACGTTTTATGCAAAATTCACAAAACCACATAACTCACAAAGCACATAATTTAAAAAAAATTTAGTTAAGCTTTAAAATGATTTTTTGGGTAAGTCTGCTGCATTCATCCTTCTCAAGTTATTAAAGCTTAAAATTGCACTGAGACTTTGAGACATCCTATTACTAAAATCCATCCTCATCAGGGCATGACATTGACTACTGTCCCAGATTTAAAGACGGGGAAGCTGAGGCCCAGCCACATAGCTAGCAAGGACCAGTCTTGGGACCCAGTCCTGCTCTTGTCCACGGTGCTAATACTGCTCCCCAAGACAGCACTGCACAAACAACCCACCCCCCACAGACTCCAAAGCAAAGTACAAACCACTGCTGTCAATGACCCCGCAGCAGCCAAGCCTTTCAGACCACTCCCCACCCTCCCCTCGCAGTCCCACTCACCAAGCTTTGGGCACTGGGGTAGGGGGCAACACAGATGCTGGGGGTGGGGGCACCACCTGGCCTGGGGGGCAGTCTCTGCCACAGTTCCTCTGCCAGGAAGGGCATGAATGGGGCGAGGAGGCGGAGGCCCACATCCACAGAGAAGAGCAGCACTTGAGGAGGCCCAGGGGGGCGGGGGCAGTGGGACAGCCCCGGCTTCACAGCCTCCTAGGAAAGCAGTCTGCGGGTCAGGGGAAGGGGCTAGGCCATGGCTATGGCCCCTCCACACACTGGCTGCCCCACCAGCCAGGACGCTGTGTGTGAAAAGCACGCAGCATCTTGGACGCCATCAGCTGTCCCACAAGAAGGGGATCTCAGGAAGGGATTCTCAGAGGTGGGTAGGGAATCAAATTGTCAGGAAGGCTGTGTAGTTTAGAAAGAAAAGTACTGAGTTTTTTGTTTATCAAAGAGAAAGGATTTTTTTAAAGATTGAGAAACTGATGTCAGCAGTGGCCCTGAGCTAGCAGCATCACCTGGGACAAGCAACGACAATTTTCACCACCCACTCATCTGGAGAGCCAGCACTCTGGGGACAGGGGACACAGGTTAACAGCTGTCCCCCCCACTAGTTCTCACACAGGATTAAGTGTGAGAGCCCTGGATGTAAAGACCTGATGCCTCCTCCCAGCCATCTAGGCTCCCAGCCTGCCCAGGGCCTGCCCAGCAATCAGAGCCTGAGGAAAAGGCCCCATTCACCTCCTGGCCCAGCTTCCTCAGACTGTTTCCTAGAAGTCTCCCCACCCTCTCCTCTCTCCCCAGGCAACAGGCAGGGAAGAGTGACTAGGCCAGTCCCCAGAAAGAGGGGAACTGGGATTCTCTGGCTCGTCCATCTTCCTGTCCTAACTGAAGGGACCATCGGGAGCCCAGCTGAGAGCTCTGCCAGGGACCCCCATCTCCTGATGAGGAGCAGGTCTGCAGGACAGCAGAGCACCAGCCCCACCCCACTCACCAGGTAGACATCACAGAGGCTGTGCAGCCAAAAGTGGTGCAGGGCGTGGGTCGCGAGGGGGAGCTCCCGGGTGAGGAAGCCTCGTTCACACTCTCGGGCAGTTCGGGCCAGGCGGCTCAGGATCCAGGCATCCATGGGGGACGAAGGGGACAGCTGTAGGCAGAAGGGGGCTGCAGGACACGGGGATGGCTCGACTCCCACTCCCCACCTTTCCTTCCAGATGCCACCTTCCGCCTGAGACATCAGACAACCCCACTCCCAAGCATCTCCTCTCTCTCACCTCCTCCACAGGCTGGGGCACAAATTTCTCCCCTAGAACATTGAGGGTAAAGCGCAGAGCGTTCCAGATCTTGTTGCAGAAATGTCGGGAGCTCAGGACCTCAGAGACAGACAGGTGCAAGTCACCTGCTGGGAGAGTAAGGAGAGAGCGTGCAGGTGGACAGCAGTGGCACAGGGCGTCCTCAGTCCTGCCAGCCCCTCTTTGCGCCCCAACACCTCCTCGCCCGGCTTACCCAGGGCCCCATGGGTACACAGGGCAAACCGCAGAGCATCTGTCCCACACTCGGGGATACCGTGAGGGAAGTCCTTTCTCTGCAACCAGAAGGAGGAGGGTGGCAGATGCCCATGAGGCCGCAGGACCAGAGCCTGGGCCACAGAGGAAACCAGGGGCTATAAGCTATAGAGGCCAAGTGGGGCAGACACCAGGGATGCACCTGAGCTGCAGCAGCGATTGCCAGCTCCGTAGGTTCCAAGTTCCCATCCTTCAGCTTCTCCTGTAGCACCTGGGACAAGTAAGTATTCACTGGCCTCAGTTCAAGACCCTCCCCTACGAGGGTCCCACCCACTGTCCGCTCCTCTCCCCCACAACCCCCAGCCCTGCCCAGCCCGCATCCTGACCTGCAGCTCCGCCCCTCTGATGATGTCCCGTGGGTCCAGCACATTCCCCAGGGACTTGCTCATCTTCCGGCCCTGCCCGTCCCGCACCATGGAATGAAGAAGCACCTGGAGGCACCAAGGGGTCAGCAGAGGGTAGCCTGGAGGGCCCTTCCCTGGAGGGCCCCTGGGGACCTACGCCCTCCATGCTCTAGGGCTTAGGGTGGACAGTGAATCGGGAACATGGAAAACACCACAGCAGGTGCTAGAAAAGAGGACAAGGTTGGGGAAAACTGGAGAGTTACCGAGAGGGACAGGGCACTCAAGGGCTGTTACCTTGTTAAAGGGGAGCTGCCCTGTGAGCTGGGTCCCCAACATGATCATGCGGCCCACCCAGAACAGCAGGAGGTCACTGCCAGTCTCCAGAAGTGACAAAGGGTAGAACCGAGTGAGGTCTGTGGTCTAGGAGGGAAAAGATAAGCAGGAAGAGGCCCTGGGTGCCATCTCCTCCAGGCTTTCAGGGGCCCAAGTGTGTCTTTTACCATCCCCACCTTCACGCTCTCCTGCTCAGCCCGGTGCCTCACCTGCTGTGGCCAGCCCAGGGCAGAAAAGGGGAAAAGGGCGGAAGAGAACCACGTGTCCAGGACATCAGGGTCTGTGAAACAGAACAGGGAACGGAGACAACTGGAACCTCAGCCTCTAGGACCTTGGCCTGCTGCTGCTCAGCCCCACCCTTCCAGCCCAGCCTCCCCACCAGTTTTCCCACCCCACCTCTCCGAGACCCAGGCACTCACCTTGCTCCAGGGTCAGCTCTGCCCCTGGCCTCCCTGTCAGCTCTGCAGCTACTTCCCTGGCCTCAGCCTCTGTCCGTCCCACCACCCAGCAGGCCTCTCCGTCTCCCTGCAGAGCAAGGGCAGAGTGAGGAGTGTGAGGATGAACACCTGGCTGGTGGGAGACCTCAGTGTCTCGGTCTCTTCAGGGGCCCTATGGCAGTGAGACGAAGAAGGCTGGGCCCCGGAGCCAGCACGAACGAGGCAGGTGACATGGGAAAGGCAGGGAGCTGAGCTGGCAAGTAGACCTGGGACTCCTGGGACTCCGTGCTAAGCCTCCCGCCCCCTTTCTCTCCTGCACTGCCTCCTACCAACCTTCACAGGCTCCCCTACAAGCTGGTAGGCTGGAATCCGATGGCCCCACCACAGCTGCCGAGAAACACACCAGTCCCTGCCACAGAGAAGAGTGGCTTCTCAGCACAAGTGGTGGTCCCTCCCAGCTCCCAGAGAGCCCCCCTTACCCAATGCGGGAGAACCAGAGCCGCCAGTTCTTCTGGTGGAAAGAGGGATGGAGCTCCAGGGCCCCCGACTCCACAGCCTGCAGGGACACAGCCTCAGGTAGTCCTCCCCATCCTGCACCCACACCCTGCTTGGTTCCCCAGCTCAGAAAGGACCTCCCAAACCTCCTGAGCAGATTCTGGACTTGAGTGAGGCATGAGCCAGCCCTCTCTGGGCCACCTCGCCTCCCTGCCCACAGCTGTCCTGTTTCTTCATCGCATTCCCAGGCAACACACCTTCCTCGCCACGCCATCTCACCTGGGCAGCTTGGTCCCCCATCTTCTGGCAGCGGACGAACCACTGGCTCTTCAGTAGGTACTCCACCACGTCCCCGGAACGGCTGCAAGGGAGACAGCTGAGCCCTTGCGCCTCCCGCCCTGGGCCTCTCCCCCAGGGACCTAGGACCCTCCTAGGTGCCAGGAACTCAGTACTGCGGTCATAGCAGCCAATGAAACTGACAGGGGCCCATAGTTTAGCATGAGGGGTGCAGAGCCCGTCCCATATCCCTCCTAGGTGTCGTCCAAGGTGAAGAAATTAAAATGGGTCACCTGCAAATGGGCAGCACCATGGGGTGGCTCTGGAGACCCCGGAACAGGCCCCGCTCCCTCAGTGCAGACAGAATCTTTTCCCGGGCCACAAATCGGTGAAGACCCTGGGAAACGGACAATAGTAAAGGTTAAAGGCCTCTAGAGAAATAAGAAAGTGGTAGAGGGGAGGAGGTGCAGAGGGTGCCCCCAAAGGATGGGGTAACACAGAGGTCAGAACCACCTGCAGCCAGTCCCCACAGAGGGAGGTCATGGTCCCATCCTCCGCGATGACACTCAAGGGGCTCAAGCCGTGTCGGGCCCCCAGCTCGGCGTCAGCAGGGCTGTGAGCTGGAGTCACCTTCACTGCCCCTGGGGGAGCAGAGCTGTGAGCACTGAACCCTGGCCCTGACTTTTGCTTTTCCAGAGGCATCTTCATCACCAGTACCTCCCGGCCCCTCCCTGCTTCTTTGTGCCTCCTTTTTGTTCCCCCCACCCACTAAGACCACTCCATACAAAGTTCCCCGCTCCTCCTTTCCTCCTACTGGTCCCCACCCTCCAGCACCCGGCCTTCTCTCCTTCCCCTGACCTCCACTCACCGGTGCCCATGTGTGGCTGGATAGCAGAGTCTGTGATGAGGGGGAGAAGCTGCCCTGTCAAGGGGTGACGAAGGTGTCGCCCATGTAGATGCTGAAGGAAGAAAGAGGGGTCAAGGACAGGCACATGTGCGCAGAGAGGTGTGGGCAGGGTGGGAGAATAAGAGGGTGAGAACCAAGGTAAAGAGCCAGACGAGGGTCAGCCTACGTCTTCTTAAGGGGCTGGAGCGTGAATACTTCAGGCTCTGCCGGCCGAGCTCCTCCACCTGCCTCTGAGGCAGAGGTGACGGCAGCGTGGCGCGCATGGCAAAGGCCCGTGGACCTGCCCAGCCAATAGACTCAAAGCCCCTCGGAGCAGAGCTGAGAGCAGTCTTAGGAAAAGGAAGTAGAGGAAGCAGGAGAGAAGGAGCCACCACCCAGAAAGGGAGGGAAGAGAAAGCTATGGGCAGGAAGGCAGGGGCAGGGAGCACTGGGCATTACTGTGTATCGGGCATCGTCGGGATGAACGGCCACTGCCACGTCTCCAGGCAACGTCTCTGGCCTCGTGGTTCCTACCACAACCTCTGCTTCTGAGGACAAAATTCAAGCACATCTAGCTAGCAGTCACTCTCACCCATCACCCTGGAAACAACTAAAGCCAGAACTGAAAAAGAGAGGGCAGGAGCAGCCAGGCTGAAATAACTAGGGAAAATTAGGACCAGTGTCTCTAGAAGCCTGGGATGGTATCTGGTGCTAAGGATTCCTTGACAGCCTGTGTGGGAGAAATGGGGATGGTGTTAATAAGGGCAGCCAGAATCCCTGCTGGTGCCCAGAGGACATGGTCAGGCCCTAATCACAAATGCTGTGCCTTGTTCGGGTCCGGCACCAGCCCCTCCCACAAGAAACATCCTGACTGCTGCAGCTCACCTACCTCCCTTGTTCTGCACTCTTCAGAACACCCACTATTCACACCATACTTCAGACCTGACCTTTTGTCTCTCTTGGGGCGGTGGCCTCCTGCAGAATTACACTGAGCTCCCAAAGGGCAGTTACCACACACATCTGTCTACAGGGTCCAGTAGCCAAGGTAAGTGCCCACAGAACACAAACACTTCAGGTTCCTTCTGCCCCTCCCACTACACCATGTGTGAAACAGGCTGGTGGGTTCCCTCCAATCAGCCCCACTTGGGCTAGAGAAAACAGGGAGAGCAGAGACAGGTGGGAGGCCTTCCAAGGAGTGCCCTCACCAGGCTCTCCATCCACAGGAAAGGCCACAGAGACGAGAAGACCGAAAGACACAGGGGTGGGGCAGCCAGGTAACCGCAGCTTTGTGGGGCCAGGCAGGGACCGACTTTCCACCTAGAGGAGGGGAAGAGGGGTGGGTCTGAGAGCAGCCCTTCTGAGGCTCATGCCCAGTCTTCGCGCCTCCACTCCTCCGCCAGCCCAGCCTCCCTGCAGCCTATTTATTGAAAAGCCATTCAAGGGAGCAAGGAGCCACTTCCCTGAGCCCACACCTAATTCTTGTGCAGTAAAGCTGCAGTACATGTTCACCGAACACTTAAACCACACACAGGTACTGTGCTGAGCACCGTCCATGAGTTCCCACTTCATTCTCACACCACCCCAAGACACAGGCATTCCCATCAGCCCTACTGCACAGATCAGGAAAACTGAGGCTCGTAGACACCAGAAGTCACAGAACTGACAGTGGCACAACTTGGACTGAGTCAGGCAGCCTGGCTCCAGCCTTTGGGCTTTCACCTGCCACGGTGCTCTCCAAACCTGCTTCTCTCCCTCTGCCTCACCTCAATGTCCGAAATGGCTGATCTCAAAGCACAAGACCAGTTGACAAGCTGCTGGTTGCGGTACAACAGCCCTGCCTTGTGGAGTCGCACGAAAGCTTCGGTCACAGCCACTGAGGAACCCTAGAATAACCAGAGCATCCCCATCCAATGCCCTTCTCAGCCCGTCACCCCCACCCTGCTACCCCCAGCACACACCGCAACCCGCCTCCCTGAGGATCTCTAGAACTGCCGGACACCCACACGGACCAGGCTGGGCACACTCACAGCGTCCATAGTAAAGCACTCACGGTCCCAGTCCAGGGAGGCCCCCAGAGCTCGGAGCTGCTCACAGATCTCTCCACCCTTCCTGTGCCCAGAGAAGTTTGTCAGCAAACATATCCTGAACACTCACAATCAGGCCCCGTGACACCAGCAATGCTGGGGCTGGGTGAGTATGGCGCTGACCTAGCCTCTGGAGGCTAATGCAGAAGACTCACAACCAGTATGGAGCCTTCCGTGACCTTGAAAAATGCATTAAGTACTCTAGTAACAGAAAACGGGCAGCCACTTTGTGTGAAACCTAAAGAAGCTTTACAGAGAAGATGGCACGTGATGACAGACCTGGGAAATGAGGGTGATGCCAAGCAGATGGAGGGTGGCAGGGGGGAGCAGGAGTGATGATGAAATTGAGGCAAGGGAAAAAAATGGGATAAGTGGGCGAGGGGAGAAGCGTGTGTATATACATGTGCACATACATCAATAAACACATCCTACTGTATCACAGACACATACAGACACACACACACAGAGACACACAGAGACACACACAAACACACATAGCTTAGAGACCCAGGGAAGTGAGGGGGATGGGAAGAGCGACCACAAGCTGGAAGAGAAGCTAGGAAGCAAGGTCCCACACTCTCAACCTCCTTATGCCTGTCACACTCACTCCTCCTTCCACTTCCACACTTCCTGGAGGAAGTCTTCCCGGCTCAGTTCATGCCTCCTCACGCCTCGCTCCTTCCACAGCTGCTTCTCCACCACAGCCTATGAGATTATGGGACAAACAGTGAGTCAGGTCTCTTCAGGGGAAGAAATCTCTTTCATCCAAGAAAAGGAAACTGGCAAAAGACATACTTGGGTGGCAATTCCTGCATGATCTGAGCCAGGGACCCACAGCACCTGATCCCCACGCATCCGGTGCCTGCAACAGAAAGCCCACACATGAAGCCCTGAGCTTACATGTTTATCCTCCCCTCTCCTCCCTTCCCTTCCCCTCCAAAAACTCAAGCAGCCCCATTCCCCTCACCAGCGCACGAGAGCATCCTGGATGGCCACCGTCAGTGCATGCCCGATGTGTAGGGAGCCAGTGACATTGGGAGGTGGGATACACATGGAAAAGGTCTCCCCTGTGCTCTGGGGCAGCCTGGTCTAGAAGGAGCAAAGTCAAAGAGCAAGAGAGGACTGGATGTTACCTGGCGTATAGTTCCCTCTGGTGTCTCTAAGGCATAAAGAACTGTAGGAAAAAATGGTCCCGCACATAACAGGGAAGGGGAAAACCTGCCAAGATAATGTTTTGGGGACACCAGGGCCAGGAGACCATGTAGTTGGCTGTGAGCCCCAGATTCCAAGACTCAGTTGTGCCCACCAACCTCACCGGCCATTTATCCTGGGGACTGTTTAGTGCCCTCCCTGCCAGGTACAAACCTGATATTCAGGTTTGAAGAAGCCCTCTCGTACCCACCAAGGGTACCAGGCCGCCTCAACATATCGGGGGCTGTAAGCAGGAGGCAGGCGTACGGAGACATCTGTGGAGGCAAGACAGAGCTCCACTAACTCTCGGACTTCGTTTCCAGGCTGCATTTCAGCAGAAAAATGGGCGCCATGAATGTGAGAGAAAGTTTCCTAGTACCTTTCTTTTCACCAAGCTTCGTAGGGATTTCATACAACACTATTTCTTTAGGAGTCCAAGCCTGACTGGATTCTGCAGGTGGCTGGGGGGAGGGGCAGAGGAGGGGTATGCAGTTCCCAGTACACACCAGGCATCCAGCAGCCTCTCCTCCAGCCCCCTCCCATCTTCTCAGAGGCCCAAGGACAAGCTGTGAGACCCAACCTTGTTCTGCGCTAACCCAGCCTCCAGCGCGGCCTGCTTCTCTCGCAGGCGTTTCTGTTTGGCTTCCCGGTTCCTCCGGGAGATGGGAGATCCATAGGGCTCTGCCGGGGTGGAAAGGGGATGGGACCTGGGGAGGCTCCCTGAGGGCCTCAGCCCCCATGGTCGAAAAGAGGCCAGAGGCCAATGAGGCATCAGGAGTGCGTGGAAAGGGGCCACGATCTGTTCCAGACAAACACCTGAGGAGAATATGGGGGTGCGGAGGTCACACCCCTAAGGTCACAGCCCGCTTCTTATTCCCGGCCTCCTGCTGGCACTGCTGTTATTCTCACCCAGCCCACACCCCTTCCTGCCTGAGGACTGGAGGGCACGCTGTCGACAGGACAGGACCCAGGAGCCAAGAGGACAGGGGATCTTCTGGGGAAGGGTCAGAGCTCCTGGCCCCCAACCTAGGCATGTGCCACGTGGGGGTGACCGCTGACACACGGGAAGGTAAAGGGCTCGGGGATTCCGGGAGAAGGCCGACACCTGAGCGCCGAGAGCCAGCAAGGAGCCGGGCCAGATGCTGCGCGCACGGCCCC